CCCCCCTGGGGGCATAACATTGATAGGTGCATAATATCAGAAGTATGTGTACCATACCTATGCATGCCAAAAGTTTACTTGCATGATAATAATTTGAAAATGACATACACATAGATAAATGCAACTAGTTATTCAACATCAGTGTAATGGGCCTGGGAACGACTGTGTTGCCTTGACAACAAAATTAGAAGTATTTTCCCATGCATCTCATGATGTACTATCTGTATGCAAAATTTCATTTGATTTGGGCCCATAATAACTTAGCTATGCTTTAGTTTACTGTTCAATAAACATACTTACCCAACTAATGACGTCACACGTTGTGCTGAATCAGCAATTTATATTTTGCACATTTTTGCGTATAACTTTGGAACTAGATGAGATAGAATAGAGCATTAAACAGCCAACCGGCTTATTTTTTCATGCTCTTTCAGATGAAGCAATAAAAATTTTGGTTGCCAATGTCCTTTAATTAATTAATTAATTAATTAATCAATCCCAAACTACTATGGGGAAACCTTTAATTTGCTTAATAACACAAGTGCCTAATAAACTTTATACCATTTGGCAAGACAGCATATTTAAATGAGAATTGTTTTTATTTTTAGAATGCCACCACATTGTCCAAAATCATATCCCTTAACCAGGACCCTGTCCCAATATTTTTCACCGGCATCTTCAAAGAATAAACCTCTTGAACTTGATGGAACAGCTGGGTTAGCAGTCTATCAAAGAACCCCTGTAAATCCTTACCTTAAAGAAGTTGTGCGCCATCTGAGGGATCCGTTAGAGTTATTCCCTAATGTTATAATTCAGGCTCAATGTATTGTCAGAATTGAATTGAATGGTGTCATCATGCAAGAGCAGTGGGAGCTGACCATCAAAAAGACCCGCAGAAGCCTTTGCACTGTACTAGATGCTCTTGGAATTCTTCATCAAGGTTTGTTTCACAGTAATTTTTTGCTAGAGCATGTTGAGCAGTTCCTTGATGAAAGTAAGAGGAGTGATGCAGATTTACCTGATTCTAAGAAGTTTAGTGAAGAAGATGTGCAAAAACTAACAAAATTGAAAGAACATCTTCTGAACTTGAACAAGTTTCTAGATTGTGTTCTTCTAAATTACTCCAGTTTTAGCTGCGAGCTACCAGACATTGAAAAGGTCAAACGTGCAGCAAAAAAGCTTTACAAAGTCATAAAAAATTTGAAGCCAGATAGACTTAAAAACTTGGTTCCTGAGGGCATGGTATTTTCAGAAGAATATGTTCTGTGCTCTGTACTTGGTTTACACAATGATTTTGCTGCCAGGCTTAGAAATTTGAGTCCAGAAATGAGAAATCACAAAACTGACATGTGCCTCTTGCTGTGTTTCCTAAAAGAACGTGATGAGTCTCCTAATGTTGAAAACTTGCGTGATACAGCTGCAGTAGAATGTAGCTTGCAGAAAATGGGTTTTACTGAAAACCGATCAAATGTTATTGCTAAGTGGATTGCTGAACAGCCTTTTCCTGAACACAGGTCCCTTTTAGCTTGGACTCAAATTTATATAGAAAACGTGTTCAAGTACGATATTTTTTTAAATGACGAGGTTCACAACTTTCCATACAAAGAACGTTACTTGGATGGCTGGTTTAGTGTGAATGTAGAAGATTGCGAAGGTGGGGATGGTCGTGTACCACAAGTGTCTGTAATCAACACCAATACCAAGGAAAAGGCTATAGCTCACATAGAGAACAAGATAGCTGAGTTCAAAGAAAGTAATCCAAAAGGGCAGCTATATTTCCATGGCACTGATCATGATAGTGTCAAAAATATTCTTGAATGTGGTATCAAGTTGGGTAAAGGTTCACAAATTTGCGATTTTTCTAACGGATGTGGTTTTTACGTAGCAGATAATTTTAAGTATGCCCTAGAAGAACATGCAATGAAGAGCAAATTGGCAGCTGTAATATTGTTCAACATAAGTGATGATTGTCTGAAGAAAGGTCTTGATTTATCTGGTGCTGAGAGGCAAATGGACTTGAAATCTGTGATAAAATATTTCCGGTCTGGTGAACCACGAAGTCATGGACTAGGTCAGAAACTATACCAGGAGATAAAAAAATGCCATTACATTTTTGGGCCAATGAGCAGAGATGGTAGTAGGAAATGTGAAATTGTGCAGCAAATTTGCATCAAGAAAGAGGAGATGGCTGAAGAAATGGGCAATCCATCACATGTAGCAGGTATTGTGTTTATAAATACGGGAGCTGGTACCGAATTAGCTCGTAGGTGAACTGTGAAGGCATTATAATGTGTAAGTGCAAAACTGTGCAATTGTTGTGCATATCAGTGACCTGTATGTATGCAGATCAAATGTTAGAGGCTGTGACTGCAATGTTAGGTATAGTAGGTAGAAATAATTTCATGATCTTTTGTTCAATTAATGTTATTGAAAGATATGTTGTTAGTATTGTAGTTAGTATTTTAAATTAGATAGTCATTTTTTCATGGATATGGTATGTATTTGTTTTACATACTGTTCATCTAGCTATTTTCACATTTGAAATAAGGATCTAATTATAACGATCACGATCATAATTAGTATTTTGTAGCTATTGCCAGGGCCTCTTTTAATATATAGACTGTCTGGAGGGGGGCAAGTCACCCCAGGCCCCAAGTTGGCCCCTCCAGTAACTATGTTGCCCCCCCCCCCCCTCAGTATGGTCCCTTCTGACTAAAATATATAGTAGCGAAAACAGGAAGAATAACTCAAGCTAAGAACGATGTTTAAAAATTCCATGACCAAAACATTTTGATTGTGGATCCCCAGACCCTCTAAAATGGGTGTGGATCCCCAGACCCGCTCAAAGTTCGCACTTCTTC